GGGGGGTGTGGTGGTGGTGGTGGTGGAGTGTCTTTTAAAGCAGCGATATTGTAGGTGTATTGTTCAGAAGATGTGTCAGGTTTTAGGTTAAAGCTCACACCGAGTTTGTTTTTAAAGTATTTCTGTACAATTATTTTTACCCTAGGTGCCCTGAGCAGAACAAGTTAGGTGCTAAACACTGGGTGTCAGTGTGGAGGGAGACAGAAGTAGCAGACATGGGAATGTTGCATCTGGGAGAGTTTGATGTTATGCCCCACCTCAGCATGAAAGCAGGGTATCGGGATGGGGAGAGAAGATGACACAAAGGAGAAAAGAACAATCCTTCACTTTCCAGTGACAAAATGCACCTTAATGTCTGTAATTCCAAAATTTTGGGATGTCTCCACCAAACCCTTATATACACACTTTCTCAGAAGCACCTTTTCTTCTGTATTTCTGCTTTGAGCTTACCTACAGATGCAGCCATAGAAACTAAATCAGGCTCCTCTGGGAAGGTATGAGACAATATGGAAATGTGACTTGACATTTACATTTTCGGGGATGTGGTTCTATTTCTCTAAATTTTCCTAACACAAAACATAAATCTTTTCCAATATTGGTGTTTAATTGAGATGTAAAAAATAAATGATAGCTGGTTGCATTTAAGTGCTATAAATTGTACTAAGTAATCTATAGTCTGAAAATTAGAATGGGAAACGCTAGTGTCTTCTAGGCAAGCATTACTCTCAATAAGGTAGAACAGGGTCCTGCACCAGCAAAGGATTTCTTTTTTCCCAGTTTAAGCTTCTGTAGTAAATGTTGCAGTCCTACCAAGAAAGTTAACACACACCTGGTTCCACTGAAGTCAAATAGGTCTCTGTTCAAAAGTGACAGTAACAAACTGTATTTACTCCTAATTGCTATTGCAAATTGCTAGAATTTTAAAAAAATTAAATTCTGGTATATTCTTTTACATGGGTGCATTCTCAGGCACAGGTACCTATCTCATCAGAATTTAATGTGTTTTTCTGGTGCTGCATTCAGAAGGAAAAGCAAACTATCTGTGAGATTTATTGTGAATTACTTTGTAAACAAACTTATTGAGTCTTGCTGTGCTAAAAGATGTGTGTGCACCTGTTTGTGAAAAAGCACTATCTAAATCTGGGGTTCATAACTGATTGCTGCAGTAAATATTGTCTTAAAAAAGCCATTTGATGGGAATCCTTATTATCAGTCATTTGAAGTTAGGATAATTTGTAGTCTAATACTATCCTTTTAAGAAGAAGGTAGTATGAGGTTCTGTGTTGGCATTTTTAAATATCAATACACAGCAAGCTGAACCTGAAAATACCAGTGAAGTTATAGTACAATGTAGTACAGACATATGTACTAATGAATAAGTTTCCTGCTTTGGGTTCAACAAAATCTCTGGTTCAGAAAATGTTAAGAATAATAATCTAAACCACACATAACCTCCTAAGCATACATTTTGTTAACCTTTGCAATTTAGTCTTCCTCCTCCTCCTTTCTGCTGTGTTCTCAACTTCTTTATACCTTTCTTAGTTCTGCATTTCAATACAGCAAGGCCTTGGGATAGACATTTCATAAGCACCTGTGTCTTATTAGGATATGTGGTAGTCTAATACCCACAAATTTTTTATGAATTTTAGGTTTCTAAGGTTCTTAAATACTTTGGTATATTTAGCCCAAGTCTCTGAAGAAAACATAGACTGGTTTCTATATTCCACCAGCATGATGGAGACCTATTCCTGGCTGGAGCCTCTTAGCTTAACAAGTAATAATTCAAGGCCACTGTTGACCTTTTACAATTACCACACTAAACCAGATAGTTCAAGTAAAAGAGCAAGCTAATTGATACTCTTTGAACCAGAGCTTATGATGTGTTTTGCAATATCTTGTGTTTTCAGAAGGCTTAAAAGCAATGTAGTTGTGTTTGGATGTAAGCAAAATTAAAAATGCCTATATAGAAGCTTAAAGTATCCTGATATTTAAACTTACAGTGACCTCTCAGCAGCATAAAAATAGTCCTTTAGGAAACATATTCATGTCAGCCACTGCTAAATCTGAACAGAAGGTGAATTCCTTTTAAGCCTCTAGAAATACATTCCCAGTACTGGCCTGCTTTAGCAACACATCCAGGAAATTAAAGTTGATCTCTGTCTTATCAAGAGGGGACAAGAAAGGTTGGAATTCATGAGCTTTTAGAGAGGTGAGCTGATTCCTTCTTGCAGTTAGAGTGACTGAACAGTCTGCAGCCATCGCTGTGTAAAAGGAAGAGTTGGTTTCTTGGATAAAATATTGCCAAGCCATTCAAGTTGGTGGCTAAAGAGACCACTGCCCTAAACTCCATCTAAAATCTAATAAAGCCCACTGAAAAACCTTAAACGTCATACAGATCTAATGAGGGAACCGTTGAATTCACAGCACTGCAAAATATTGAATCATTGACAGTATCTTCTTTGTCTTGCTGCTGGCACAGACAGTGATGGAGAATGGAAGAGTCTAGAGGAAACAGCTCACTCACCTAACCAAGTTCAAATCGTAAAAGATCGGCTTAGATACCTTGCTGCGTGTGGCACTAAACTTTTTAAAAGACACAGTTCTCAAGGACAGAAATGCTTTCATTAGAACAAGTCTACCTGTAAGGCTCTCAAGTGTCAGGATTTTTCCAACATGCTTGCGTCTTGTACATGCAGCCAGGCTGCCATTCAGGCATTTAAATGAAAGGATTATATTTTCATGTGACCAGCACCCATTAGAATTAGGTTTCTCCTGGGGAGTTGCTGTCCACTGATCTATTTTGAAAATTTGCATCCTCATTTCATTTTATGTGCCTGGTTGGAAGTTTTTGTGTGCTGAGCATTTTTGCCAACTCTGGGGTCTTGTAACAGTAGTCAGCATGCAGTTGAGAGGAAATATTTGCATCTTGTAACAGAGAAAATGCTCAGTGAGGTTTCTTCATATGTTAAGATGTAATAAAGTTAAGTTAACCCTTTTTTGTTTCTTTTAATATTTTCAGGAGTCAATTATTACAGCAATATCATTAATAACCTGGGAAATGGCATCCTGCTCCCTGTATCACTTTGGCTTACCTCAGTCCTTAGAAGATGAAGGTGGCTGGAGATTTGAAACGATCATTGAGACCTTTGATATTCATGCAAAGCATTGCTTCAGAACATTTGGAGACTGAGTGATCACTATTAATGAGCCTTATGTCGTTGCTATAGGTGGTGGTGGAAAAGGTATAGCCCCAGCATTGGTACCAGAGCTTACAAGGCAGCTTATAATGTGATAAAAGCTCATGCTAAAGCATGACATAGTTGCGATAAGATACTTGGAGAAAACAATGTGGACTTGTGTCTGAACTCAGATTGGTAGAACCTCTACAAATTCTGTAGCAGATGAAAAAGCAACTGAAGAATACCTGTCCTTTACCTTAGGTGGGTTTGTCAGGACAATATTTACTGATGATGAGTATCCAGCCATCACAAAGTCCTAGATTTCTGCAATGCATTCAAAGCAGGGTTACTTACCATCAACGCTTCTGGAATTCACTAAAGAAAGGACGGGTACTTCTGACTTCTTTCCCCTGAACTGTTAAACTTAAGACCAATAAAACACAGGCAAGAGACGAAGTGTTTCAATGGACTGTGAAGCTGAACAAATAATGGATCCTTCTTGGGCTCTTGCAATGGGCTGTAATACCATGGGGTTTTCACTACCTTCTGTGTTATATCAAGGAATGACCTAAGGCTCACAGGACCATTTTACCACTATTAGCTGGCCCATGAGGAGACCTGAGAATTCAATGAGTAATACTGCTCATTTGTATTTTTTTGAGAAGCCCGTCTGGATGGCATAAGACATTGTACAAGATATAAATAAACAAGTCACCTTGGGATTCTTAATTTAATTTTTGCATGTTGGCTATAAAGAGTAGAAGCCTTAGTGATTTCCTATTGCCTTTGTACTTGATAGCTATTTTACAGTTTGAAATGACACACCAGTGTTATATCGTCTTTTGAACTCCAGAAATGTTCTTTCTGATGCAGCAGTAGGGCTTTCCTGGCATGCATCTACTCCTGGCAATGGGACGTGTGGTGACTGCCAGTACCAAGGGGTTAAGGAGCAGTGACAATAAGCAGATGATAATGCAGGAGGGATATTTTAGTCTTCTCATTAAAATAAGTCATTTCACTGTCTTCATGGATATTTGCACAGTTTTGCTTTTCCATTGTTAGTCATAAAAGGTCAGCTCATGGAAAATTAAGTTAATAGGGTCAGTGCAATTTGATGAAAACTAGTTTTAGTTTGTAGCTTAGAAAAGATAGAGGGTAATGCATCTGATTTTATGGGCTTTCTTACATCTGTTCTGAATAAAACTTCTGCTCTCTTGTGCTAGGATACATGTAATAACCCTATAATTTACATCACTGAGAATGGGTTTTCCCAAAGTGACCCTGCTCTACTTGATGACAGTCAACGATGGGAGTATATCAGGCTGATTTTACAGGAATTTTTAAAAGGTACCATTTAAAAAGATGAAAGATCAATTGTGCAAACTTAATATAATTTTACTTTGTGCTTATTTGCATTCAGCAATGACCAATGATTCTTGAAGCCAAAACTCATGTAAATCAGAGTAAAGTGATGTGATTAAGAAAAAAAATATGTTTAGCTGAAAAGAAAGCAAGTTGTTTTAATCCCGCTCCCC